AGGCAGACACACTGGCTTGCGTTAGCAGCAGCCTAGTTGCTCAAGCAAATATAAACATTCATATATATATCTATTTCAGCCTTTTGCATATAAATTATATATTCTGTGAGTGGCCACGGATTTTAGAAAATTAATTTTTAGGTTCAAGTCAACGCATGAAGTAAGCCCTGGCCTAGAATATTTGTAATACTGTACACGGGCCCTTCAAAGACCAATGCACTTATTCCATTATACAATTAGTCCTTAAATACGGGTCTTCAGGCTATGTTTTACTATTACGCTGATGTGATTTTTTTCGGAATGTAGTATTCCAGTTACGTTTTTGTTGTTGTTGTTAATGCATCGCTCTGTGTGCACACCCAATTGCCTATAATCCTATATATTAGATTCGCAATCGCACAGTCCATAAGTATTGCTCGGTTCTAAATATCATGCACTTTGAGACTTCAAGTTCTTGAGATAACATTTCGTACGATTCCAGAGATACGCGCACGTTACAAACTGTGGTTATTATAATTATTTGCTGTCTTAATAAACGTACACATACAATAGCAATGCTAATTATGATAAAACAAGAGTCTTCATGTTGTCACTCAGAGAAAATATCGCATACATCCACTCAATAATATATTTTACTATGCGTTCATCTTTTAATAATTTGAATTGATCCTACTGAGTATTTTATTGTACAATTACATTGTTAATGTGTCCATGTAGTCCACTGGTTTTTTACGTGATGCTTATTTAAAATAAGCTTTAGTTTATACAGCCGCTTGTTCAGTTTTGTGTTTCTTTGTTTATTTACATGCAGTCATGTATATGCATAGAAACTATACACAGGCTTTCACGACCAATATAATGATTCGTGATGGGTTTCTTTTTTGGGTTAGGTCGTGTAAAAAAATAATGTGTGTTGTATACCCCCTGCCACTCGGCACAAACGAGCCAAATGTATCACTGCATCAGCAGCACCGCCAGTGTTGTTGTTGTTGGAGAGCAATCTCACCGCATTTAAATTTAGTACCACGTTTCGCTGGAGATTTACATCCAGAATCATCAGATTGTTAATTGCCTATGTCAGGTGGAGGAGGGTTTACAACACACATTTTTGTTACACGACCTACAACCATTAGAGACACATTATAAATCTCGTGTTGTAATTACAGGCCCTTTATTAGTCTACTGCAGGAGGAAGGCCTCTCTACGCCTATTGGTCATGGGAGTTGTCTGACTATGCTGCACCACGCTCATCAGTGTTGTTTGGCGAACGAGGTATTCAGTACCGATTTAAGATATCACTCACAACCGATGCTAGCCATAGCCGGGAATCAAACTCTGGTCGCCAGCTCAATAGCGCAGTGTACTCCCACCCTCCCACCCCATGTAGTCCATGTACAGCGCTATCATTCACCCTACATCGCAATGCTACATCACGGACGCCTGCTGCTGGGGTTAGACCGCTAGACCCGCAACCGTGATGTCGTGAGTTTAAATCTCACTCGAGGGTCAACATCATCGCCCTGCGATGGATAACCCCAGAAGTCGTTCTGTGGGGACTGTGTTGGAAAACATGTACAAGCACACAACAAAATAATCGTAACATTGTAATTAATACTGCTTTGTATAAGCATACTCTATGCGGTATTCTCCAGATTATGAGATGCATTCCCCCCCCCCCTGAATTTTAAAAGAAAAATGTGGGGGTTGCAGTAGGTGTATGTGTCTGTGTACATGACTTTGTCTGGTGTACATTACCAGATATGTAGAAATGCATTGTCACTGAGCTCAAGTTTGGGGTGAGTTACTTTCTAGAGCATCTTAAAATATGGAGAATATGGTACATCGTTTCTGCTATGAGGGGTTGATAGTTTAGAATGTGGTATTTTTTTTTGCATTTGTTCTACGGAGGGACTGGCCCCTGCCATGGGAATGTGGTATTTCCAACGAAAACTCAGGGCCACCATCGGAGACGATCGCCAACCCAGTGAGACGCGGCGACTTTGAGCCGTTATTTAAACCGTAAGAGCCATCGCTTTGTGTCCACGGGTTGCTTAGAACAATTAGCATCCAGACTTTATTGAAACTGATGCATGCTTTCACCAGAATCCAACGCAGGTTTTTTTTTCTTCTTTCCAGAGCGGATGCGATGTGCTCATGTTTCTCTACCCTACAGACTAATCAGGCAGCTGAATTATGAAACAGCTGCAACGTGCACAGAGTGAGGCTTGGGGTGGTATTGGCAGGTACCGCTAAGATTTCCCGTAGAAGTGACTTTAAAACCACTTTAGCAACGGAAATACACTGGAATTATACGGCTATTCTGACATTTTAACACTTCAGAATGTTCTATATCACAAGGCATTCCTAATGACTGAAGTGAGAGTGAGTCGACATCAACTGCATTTCAACTTGCAACCTCATGAATGCCATTTTGAGTGCTCTGCCAAAGTAAAGAACATGTCCAAAATAATGGAATGTTTAAATTGAAAAAAATATTGATAGAAATTACAGACTGAGGATAATATTATTTTATGACACTGCAAAGCACTTCTAAATATCAAACGTATGGCACATTTCTATTTAAAGTATGCAAATTGTAGAGTATGCACAGCAAAACATGTAACAATACAGTATAACTAAAGTATATTGAAGGATGTGCTGTCACTAAGTGTAAGTAACTGTGTATATGTGTGTGTGGAGTGAGTGGCAAGTGTAGCGGTTAGCGCTCTGTGCTACGAACCCGGCGGCCCGAGTTCGATTCCCGCTCACGGCCAACATGGTGAACCGGTTCTGGGCCTCCTCTAGGTCGACTCTGCCTCAAATTAGTACCTGGTGCGGTAGGTAAACATCGCCACTGGCCACCCGCCCCCTCGTGCGCCGTGTCAGCCTCCATAGGTGCTCGCTAACAGCACTTGCCCCAACAGTCTATCAAGGCTATACGGGGGATCTTTGTCTTTGTGTGCATGGAGTGAGTGGCATCCTTATAGCCGTTTACTGTGTATATGGTGTTATTTTAGCTGTTGCCAAGTGGCTAATTGCAAGTGTTTTACAGCACAGGAGGCACTTTTACTGCCTTGTCGAACAATTGTAAACACGTTTCTTGAGAACAGCGGTAATGTCACGACTGCAGTGAACGCATGCAGCCCCTGTTGCAGAAGTGTGAGCCAACCGTGGACAGAGGTGCTGCTAGGAAGCAATGTTAGCTAAAGGCCGCACTCCCAAATTATTTAAGTAATCGATTATTCGCACGATGACCCCAAACAGTGAGACAGACATCGCAGTTGTCCCTAGCACCGATCTCTTACTGCCATGGCAATAAATATCATATCAGTGGCCACTATTTAACCAGTTAGCGAGGCCCATTGACATGATTACAATTGGGAGATTAATCCGTACAGCTGTTACATGCAGATAGACCGCAAGGCAAGTGGGCCAGAACACTGTTACAACAGGTAAAGCTTATCTTTGCCGACCACACTATTAAAACATTTGGGCCAAAACGACAATTCCCTATCCACTTTACAAGCCTCAACACATCCCATTAAAATAAAAGGTGTGACGGTGGTGTGGCCACGACCCACAACAGCGCGATGAACAAGTCTCATCTCTCCACGAGCCACACATTATCCTTTGATCGTTGCCTTTCCCTACCACGTGAGGCCTCGCAATTGACGGAAAGCAATATGAATCCTTTATTGCAGTGATCTAGGCAAGGGTGGGTGGGTTTTGGAGGAGTGATATGTAGCAAATATGTTGGCAAAAACAACGGGTTTTTTTTTTATGCCGAACAACATGCGCTACGCTCTCGAAAACGCACCGGAGGTGTTGAAGCAAAGTAGTTTTATGCGTTAGTTTTTCCAATCGTAGATTATCATACACAGGGTTAGCTTACCGTTGTAAACGTAGTATCGAATAGCAGCAGCTAATGACACACTGGGAAAAAAAACTGGTGACGTAAACATTTTGTTTTGTTACTTCAGTGGGAAGGGTATCTGTACAGCATGGAGTCGTGCTGGTTTATCCAGAGAGACATTGAAGTAGCGCTCATAGATTGGTGAGCGAGAAGAAAACTTAAATACAAATATTGGGATGAGTCTACAAAAGTCCATCTTGGAGGTCATACATCGAGCGTGTAATTGGTGTGGAATCTGGCAGAGGGAAGAAATGCCGAGGTGTGGTGTGTTGTATGTATGTATGCATGTTGAACTTCTTTCCCACCATACATAGCCAACCGTGCTAATTGGAGGTGCGGGGGAAGGACAACAAACTAAACACAAAATCAGTTCTAAAGAAATTTGTTTTCAATATAGATTTAAAAGTGCATAGCTTCAGCGGTTTCCTAATATCAGAAGGAAGAACATTCCAGACGGCCGCAGAAGCGCGTCTGAAAGCGCGCGATGCAGTCACCGCTTTTGTTCGATGGCTCGCCAGAAGCCGCTGCGAGGGATGAACGGAGTTCGCGTGGATGGTTCATGCTCCTTGAGATCATCGAGGTATTGCGGTTCGTTTGTTGCAAGCGCTTTGTGTGTAATGAGTGCGACCTGTCGTGGTGCCACACACCCGGTCATGGCTCTGGCTGTGATGGCCTTGGTCTCGGTCGTGATCTCGACCACAATAAAAGGCAGCCGTGTCTGGTTTTTCGTCGTGGTGCAGCACAGCTTTACCGATGTCTGTCCAGGTTTGCTCCGCGTGTCGTTTCGCACCGTGCCCATCGTTTCGCTGCACTTGCTGGGTGCTTCTTTTGGAACTATTCACCCAGTAAGCATGAAAATGTTGGGCCAATGTTGGGGGCCAACATCGGTTCAATGGTGCCAACCACGCGCCAACGTTGCACGTTCAGCTGGACATGAATTCAGTTTTTCAAGAAGCTTTGAATGTGTTGCGCGGAACTCCGGACGTCGTTGCTGGCAAACACGTGGCACAACACGAACACACATCGGAAACACGCGTTCTCTTGCAGCTGCTAAAGAGATTGACAAACTCTGCCTTTTCTCTCGTAGCTCGTGTTGCACAAGTCCACTGCTGAGGTGTGCGGTTCCCGGCGGGAGGATGGCATCTGCACGGTTGGAGGCAGGGTTGGGATTGGCCAGTGCCCCATGCAGAGCCCCTTTGACCGAGGGTTATGCGTAGGAGGGCTGGGTGCATTTTCCGCAGCCTCCCCAGCGTACGAAGCTTACCTCTCCTACCACGGACAGCCACCGTCGATATATACGCCGATGGTACGAAGCACCCTTCAAGCACGGATATAACAATGTGGGCGAGAGCCTAACGGGGAGATCGAGGGCGCCGCGGTGGCAAGATGTTAACTATCTCGCCTGGTATACAGGCCATGGGTTCATTGACGACCCTGACGCCTGTATATTTGGAGTTTGCATGTTCTCTCCGTGGTCGCGTGGATTTTTCTCCGGGTCCTCTGGGTTTTCCCTTTCACGTTTTAAAAAACATGCGTTTAGAGTATTTAACAGCTATGATGCCTTCCTGTACACATCAATTGTGGAATTCCCTTCCTCAGTCCATTAGGGCATCTTAGTCTGTTCTACTTTTTAAATCGCGTCTTAAAACTCATCGGTTTTTACTGGCTTTCCCCATAACTTAAGCTTATGTAAAATACTTTGGGGCCTTGTGCGAATTGCTATATAGAAAACCGAGTTTATTAATATATATGGCACAATTAATGATTAATATTATTACTTTTGTCTGGTCGAGTACCATTGTTGTAAGCGCATGCACTTGTACAAGCTCTTTACGACGGAATTGGCCAGTTGACTAGTTCATATTCCAGTCTGCAGTAGACTCGGCCTTTCTGTTGTGGACCTGCAGGCTGGATACGAGCTTGCGGATGGGACCAGGTCGGCTCTGGCCCATGGCTCTTACTGCACCTACGATCCCACACTCTCCCACTACCCCTGCGACAGGTACTGACGGGACGGCCACATTTTCAGCTCAATCGGGTTGGTGGTCTCGACAAGGCCAAGAGCATTGTATGTGCAATGTGTTGGGCACGTGACGTGTGTGTAAGACATGATGGGAGTCGTGACTTCTTGTTGTTTGTAAGCACACTTTTCCATGTTGAACGTAGATGATCAGCCTGCTTACTATTCACCAATCCTTGAAATGTGTGTCCAAAGTTACATTTAGTATAAGATAATACTGCTACCAGAGACGCAAAAGTCCAAAACATTTGTTTAAAGAAACTACCAAGGCAATGTGTATTGGCATGTCTGTGACATGCACTTAAAGCTTTGCTAATGATAAAATACATAATTGAAAATGACAGTCATGTGACTCTCAAGATGCTACTTCAGTGCCCTCTAGTGATACCACTGGAGTATGACTTCTAAAACCTTTGGTGAAAATTCCACATTCCCCTGGCAGGGATCAGAAAGTCTATTCGATCATTAATGCTGACTTCTATGTAAAGGGGATACTCATTTGCGTCATCCAAGATGATGTATTTGGTATAAACTCAATATCCCTCTTCATGAGACCTTGACCTCCAATGTGTGTGTGGTCATTTACAGCTTTGGCTGACCATTGTCTAAAAGTTGCCAAATGTCCAGTGATTTCAGAAATGCTGTCTGAGGGCCTCCCCGTTGAAGCTTTTCTGAGCATCGGGACTTTGTCTCTAGTTTTAAATTCTTCTGGTCTCGTGCTCAACTCACGTTTCTTGCAAAGGGTCGGGGCTATCTGAGTCGTCGGAGGGGCTAGATGAGCAGTGGGAGGGGCTAGCCGAGCAGTAGGAGGGGCTAACTGAGCAGTTTGGTGGAGCTAACATGATATTGAACCCCAAGACAATTTAACTCTGTAGGCAGGGCTAGTAACGGAGCAGGCATGGCCATGTACAAGTGGGCAGCGTTGAGAAGGGGGGCAGGTAGGGCCGGTGGCTCACAGTTGGGTCCTCGGTGAGCCTCTCGGAAAAAAAAAAGTGTCGTCGATCCACCCTTAGGTACGGCGCCGCAGAGGCGAACGTCACGCGGCGCAAGAACGCCACTCGCGACGCCACGGCCACGCTCAAGGCCTGGCTCAACGAGCACCGCAAGAACCCGTACCCCACCAAGGGGGAGAAGATCATGCTGGCCATCATCACGCGCATGACGCTCACCCAGGTGGGCGGTTTCATTCAAATCTGTGAGCGACGTGATGACCCATCATAGCGGGGAAAATTAATGCAGGTTTTGGCAACAAATTGCTTTAACAGCAAGCAAAAGGTGTGTAGTGATTTCCAGAAAAGCTCAGCCTCGTTCAGTTCTTTTGAGGTGGCGGCCTGGATAAGGCAGAGAGCATTTGTGCGTGCAATGCACATCTTTGTCTGTTGTTAAATCTAGACGGGTGTACGTGTGCACGTGTGCGTGTGGGAGGAGTGGTGGTGCAGGCGTAAGCACACTGCGCTACGATCCAGGCCACCTGAGTTTGATTCCGATCGACAGCTAACATGAGTGATGAGTAGGTTCAGAACTTGTCTTGGGTCTGCACTAGGTTGGCTTAACCTTTACTAGTCTGCTGCGCTATTTATCCAGCCACCTGGGTTTAAGTTCCACATTGGCTGCGACGAACCAACACACTGCCATTGCACCTTTATCTCCGTCGCTTGGTTTTGCACGAATCTGTTCAGAGCTTCACGTGAGCCCTTTCATTCAGATCTCCACTTGGTTTGCCAATGCTCGCCGACGTCTTAAGAAGGACAACAAGATGACGTGGACTCCCCTGGGCAGCCACAGCCGGGACGAGAAGCAGCCTGAATGTGACAGCAGCCACGCAGGTTTGTTCACCATGACAACTGTTTACCGGTAGCAGGAATCGATGGTTGCAAAACGTGTTGCTGGTCGAGGCATTGGTTAGAGAATGCAACTCGAAATCAGAAAACTTTTTTTTCCAACAGTGAATTACTTCCTCTTGTTGAACATAGTATATGCAATACCGTAATATCGAGTAAGCATACATACACCACCATTGCACTGACGTATCGTAGTGACTTTCACGTTCCTTTTTTGGCCGATTTGATCTTAGTTCACGTTTTAGAAAGGAACGGTTACTACATGGACTTCGTGAAGGTTGTCTTTTCCCACAATTGTGAACATCGTAAATTCAGCAGAGGCCTTGAAGACATCCATTAAACTTCCCCATAGGCAGTTCTTTGGCTATACGACCTGTATGAGTTGCTATCTAAAGCCGTGCCAACCCATTACGAACAAATAATTGTATCGGCTGCAGAAGGACGGAAGGCTGAGTTGAACCCCCAATCTTCAGTTTAGCTCACAGCCTTGCGATCGCGAGCCAAGCATTCCAACCACATTGTGACTTGATCAGATTGATTTGAAGCTTTCGTGACTGCAGGAATCCATACTCTTTGGTTCTTTCGGTAAAGTCACGTAGGTATCAAATAAAATAAATCACGACGTTTCGGGCGCAACACAAGCGTCCGTCATCAGGTGGGAAAGCCGTGGTCTGCTGCTGAGGCAGACTGTTTTAAAACGGTTTGAAATGGGTGTAGCTCAAGGGTCAAGGAGAAGTGGGCGGGGCTAGTTATGTTAATGTGAGAAATTAGCATGTAACCAGTTACATGCTAGTAACCAGTTACATGCTAATGTTAATGTGAGAAATTAGCATGTAACTGGTTACATGCTCATTTCTCACATTAACATCACTAGCCCCGGCCACTGCTTTATGACCCTTGAGCTACACCCATTTCAAACCTTTTGAAATAGTCTGCCTCAGCAGCAGACCACGGCTTTCCCACCTGATGATGGACGCTTGTGTTGCGCCCGAAATGTCGTGATTTATTTTATTGTATACCTATGTGACTTTACTGAAAGAACCAAAGAGTATTGATCAAATTGTTATATGGATTGCGCATACACACACAATTTTCACTTCTTTATCTGCAGATCAACATGAGGACAATGGTGATGACTCTCGACTGATGGACGAGGGGGACGAGGGCAGAGGCGATGACCACCGAAGAATTTTCAGCCCAGCCACAATGAGCAAGCGCTCGGTGTCCCCTACAGGGAGGCACAGCAGCAGCAACAGCAGCAGCAGCGACAGCAGTGAGAGCAATCTTGCCCTGACTGTCCAACAGCACGCACCGCCGATCCCCAACAGCTGCCGCCACCACCACAGCGACGGCGACGACGACAAGCAGCACCTCGCCGGCCACTCGAACGGTGGACATTGCGGCGTGACGGGAGACGGCGGTCTTATCGATGGCGCCACCTGGGAAGGACGAGCCGAGCAGAAGCCTCCGGCCGCAGACAAACCCAAGATCTGGTCCCTAGCTCACACGGCGACTGCTCAGATGGGCGAGCAGAGCCGCTGGTCCCCGAGGCCTGGCTCGGTGAGCGCCCTGCCTTACTTCGTCCCGCCGCCGCCGCCGCCACCGCCGCAACTTGCCGTTGACTCCGGGGGCAATCCCTCCACGGGCATATCCCCCGTGGAGGGATTGCGATGCTGGGCGAGCGAAGCCTACCAGGGAGGCTTTTCGGCGGCGGGAGATCTGCTGTGGGGAGGCGATGGCGGCGAGAGGGGATCGTCGTTCTGGACCGACGGCGGTGGCCTGAGGTTCAAATTGGCCGCGGAGAGGGGCACGGATGGCGCTGGGCGATCATGAAGTGCCCGGCCTGGCTTGATGCGGTAGTGACTCGGCGCCCTCTGCAATGGTGCGAAAGGGGGCTTCAAGTGTAAAGAGGATGCCTTGAGGCTTAGAATTTTAAGAATAGATCTGCCTCATAGGAACATAAGGCAGATCTGAAACATGGTAAGACCAATACCTTGGCTGTGGCTGATCATTGTTTTGGTGTGGTGGGCTCACACGAAATTGATTTCTCTAAGACGAAGGTACTTTGCAAACCCACTGGCTATCAACAAAGATTCGTTCATGAAGCCATCCATATATACAGACATAGACACAATTTCAGCCGAGAAGATGGGTACACACTTAACAATCATTGGAAGGACGTTATCAACCAGTTTAAGCCATAACTTGCTGTGATGTTCCCATCCTACCACCTTCCGATGTTAGTCGTTATTTTCAGCTCTCCAATTTTACATTAACAGGTTAAATTTCTCACACAAACACAGCCACCTTCGCTCGCAGACCTCGGGGTGGCAGCGGCTCTGTGATCCTACATTAGCATGCGAATCTCTCACATTAACATAGCCACCTCAGCGCACTCGCCGTGGAGGCCGCTCACCGATCTTACATTAACATGCGAATCTCTCACATTAACATAGCCACCTCAGCGCACTCGCCGTGGAGGCCGCTCACCGATCTTACATTCACATGCTAATCTCTCACATTAACATAGCCACCTCAGCGCACTTGCCGTGGAGGCCGCTCACCGATCTTACATTGACATGCTAATCTCTCACATTAACATAGCCACCTCAGCGCACTCGGCGTGGAGGCCGCTCACCGATCTTACATTGACATGCTAATCTCTCACATTAACATAGCCACCTCAGCGCACTCGCCGTGGAGGCCGCTCACCGATCTTACAATGACATGCAATTTTTTTGCCTGGCAGCCCTTTCATTGGTGGAAAGCCACCACGAGTGGCACCGTGGACCATCACTTATATTAACATTTGCTGCTCCGCCCATGCCGCTGACACAACAATTTGCCTTCAGAGGTTAACCCCCTATTCCTGATGACGACCGCTTGTGTTGTGATCAAAACGTCGTAGTAGTTTTTTTGTTTGTTTTGTTATCTGAACCTATCTACGTGACTTTACCGAAAGACCCAAGGAATAAGAATAGAATTGTTGCTGATTTATCCAGCATAGCCACAGTAAGGACGAAAACTTTTTGAGGAGGGTCCTGATATCATCACCAATGACATTGTTTCTAGCTATGGGAAGAAATGGGAGAAACCTGAGGAAGAACATACAAAGCTGCACAGAGGAAGGGGCCGGAGTCAGGAATCGAACCCAGGGAGCTTTTTGCCGCGAGTCAAGAGTGTTACCACTGCACCAGCCTGCAGCCCCATTGGACCGATGGGTGGACACATGCGAAGTGGTGCGGCGAATGCTTCTCGTCTTGAATTTGTTGGTCGGACCCATACCTCCACAATGGAATGGTACACTCCACAAGCAGTTCTTTCTGAACAGTTTTGTATTGGATGCAATGCTTTTAAATCACTGTTTACAAAATAAATCGCCATATTCTCAGGATTATCAGATACACTTTCTCCCCCTATATTTTACAGCACAGGTTGAAGGTCGTCTTATAATCCAGAGAATATATTCCCTTTCAGAAAACATGTTTTAACCTAGTTGTTCAGAATAATCGTCCAGAAGACATCTCTCTCCATATTAAAGCAACAGGTTTTATAATAATCTAAGAAGACTTTCCACAGTACTGTATTTTCCTCATTATGAAACACACTTCTATCAAAAATGACCCGTAAGTTTTGGTCCATCTTACTTCCTGGAGCATCTTATAATCTGGAGAATACGATATTTAGGCAGGGGAGCAATATTGTTAGAGCACTCAACTCACAATTGCAAGGTTGTGAGTTAACATCTCAATTGGTAGTTGACTCAGCTCATCATCTCTATTGGAATGATAACATAGGTGCCACTTTGTAGAAGCAAACTGTGGCTGTTTTATGGAAAGACTCATCCCTGCCATGGGAATGTATAATTTCCACCACTAGTTCAGACTATCATGGGGATGAGTTGGATTGCCTCGACCCCTTAGTTAAGAATGGAACAGTCTTAATTATATTTCCTTTGCATCCTTTATATGATTGGTATGAAAACCTTGGAATATTCCACTACTTGCAAAGGGGGTAAGGTGATGTATCTCCAAACCCGTTCCATGAATTAACGTTTCTGATTGCAATAATATTTTTTCAGCTTTCCAGTTATTGACAATAAAACCAAATAAGAACACAACCCTTTTGAATTTTCAATAAAGAGTATCTGTGATTTATTTAATGAGTACATTGGTACAGATGATCATACACAAACGTTGTGCAGTCTCGACTTTTCAGCTGGGTTATTTTTAATGTACGTATTTAATCGATTGCTTTTTGTTTAGTTGAAACCACACATCGCTAACGTGGTATAAAGCCAGCCAAAAGTAAATAAAACACTTTAAATAAACTACTCGTTTCAGCAACGCATGATTATGGGCAATTTTGACTGCTGCAAGTACCCCATTGTCGATTTTGTATTGCTATGTTTTGTTCATGGAAAGAACAAGGCCACGAATAATTGGCACAACACCGACTTTCTGTGCTACCTCTTAGAAGTTGGTCAAAGCAGGCAGGTGTCTCATATACCCTCCCCAACCCAGAGCGTCCACGAGGGTTCATAACGCTCCTGTCACATCAGTGGGCCAGTAGTGGTGAATATGGTTGTCACCTGTCCCGGTTTTCTCAGGATCATCCTTTTGCAGAGGCAGTTGCTGTCCTGAGAAATCTGTCAGTTGTACAGGGACATTCAAGGTCTTTTTTTTTATTGGGTGCATAAAAACTATATATACACACTCAACGCATTTAGATGATGAGCTATGAAGCTGTTTTGCAGATGTCCAGTCAGGGCGGATCAGCAAATTACAAAAGCAAGCAATACAAGAAACGATTTGAGTGATGACTAGATAAAATATCAGCAAGTCACTTAAATAAATAAAATATATCAGTACAAATTGCATGAGTACATCCATTTCTGCTGGGTTTTTTTTCAAAACTAAATGCAAGCTTGGGGCAAGGCAGCAAAACGACAACAAACCCAGTCCCAGACCACACCAAGACAACAACACACAATCTCTCAATAACATTGCACATTAAAATTGAACTTTATATATGGGTAAGGAACTTCTGGAATTGTTATAAATGCTTCTTCCTATGATTCGTCCTGAATTTGTTTGTATTGCTCAGAGGTGGCAAACCTACTGTTGAGACCTTTGTCCAAATACAGGGAGCTGCCTGTAAGAAATGCAGATTTGTTATTTTAAATTCACAATTACTTAGGACAAGCCCTAGTTAATATGATGATATCAAGTAGAATTCCATCGCGGGATGACACACTTTGTTGAACTATAATTTGTGGTCGCTTCTGAAAAAGAGCTATATAGTTCAGTGGGCCTTATCTGATAACATTAAAATTGTTATAGTTCATGCACAGTACTTGTGCTGCACTTACGCATAGTACGGAATTTATAAGTGGCCACATACACAAGATTTGTGGCAGATATGTCTGTTAAACCTGGATTCATGAGCTGGGTGTATGATAAAAAAAAAAAAAACACGAATGGAGAACAATGAAGAGGCAGGAAGCAGAAGTGGGAGAAGGACACGTTCATCTTGGTACATCTAGAGTGTGGAGACAGCACACTGAGGGTGGCTAGGTCTCTATCCACTGCTGGAGGTGTAGAGTGTGGAGCCACCACACTGAGGGTGGCTAGGTCTCTATCCACTGATGGAGGTGTACAGTGTGGAGACAGCACACTGAGGGTGGCTAGGTCTCTATCCACTGATGGAGGTGTACAGTGTGGAGACAGCACACTGAGGGTGGCTAGGTCTCTATCCACTGCTGGAGGTGTAGAGTGTGGAGCCACCACACTGAGGGTGGCTAGGTCTCTATCCACTGCTGGAGACCTAGAGTGTGGAGACAGCACACTGAGAGTGGCTAGGTCTCTATCCACTGCTGGAGGTGTTGAGTGTGGAGCCACCACACTGAGGGTGGCTAGGTCTCTATCCACTGCTGGAGGTGTACAGTGTGGAGACAGCACACTGAGAGTGGCTAGGTCTCTATCCACTGCTGGAGGTGTAGAGTGTGGAGCCACCACACTGAGTGTGGCTAGGTCTCTATCCACTGCTGGAGGTGTAGAGTGTGGAGCCACCACACTGAGAGTGGCTAGGTCTCTATCCACTGCTGGAGGTGTAGAGTGTGGAGCCACCACACTGAGAGTGGCTAGGTCTCTATCCACTGCTGGAGGTGTAGAGTGTGGAGCCACCACACTGAGAGTGGCTATGTCTCTATCCACTGCTGGAGGTGTAGAGTGTAGAGACAGCACACTGAGGGTGGCTAGGTCTCTATCCACTGCTGGAGACCTAGAGTTGCATGCTGGCGAGTTTCGCCGTTGATCCAGTCCTGGCTAGGCAGTGGTATCCGGAGTTCCTCACACCCAGCGAGTTCCGGTCAGGGGCGGCCATAGGATCTACAAGCTGCCTGCCCAACCCACGAGTTGCCCATCAGAGAGAGAGAGAGTGTCAAGATGAACAATGCGGCTACCTCTCCTGACGAGCCCAGTGCAGCATGGACGTGAGTTGATTGCTGTGTGGCTTACAAGTCAGGGTTGTGGCGAGAATCCAACGTGAGGAATTTGGATGCTAAACCAAGGACGCAACCCACACCACGCCACCATCATCATCATGGTCTATGGGCAGATAGCCCTTAGGCAACCACTGCATATTTCGTCGTTTGTTGTTTCCACTCTCCTCTGTCTTGTGCCAATATGCTCAAGTAGTGCGACACATCTCTCTGGCACCAATCTCTCATGTCGTCGTCAAACCATTATCTGCGAGGTCTTCCACTCTTTCCGGTTCAATCAAATTTTTGCGAGCAGCAAACTTTTAATTTTCCGTTGTTGCCCATGCTACATATGTATCCAAATAGTGGAAGTTTCCTTTGCATCACCAACTGCATCAGATATTTTTCTACGTGCCACCATTGTCCTACTTCTACGTTGGTCACTCTTTGGGTCCAACTTGTATATGCAGTGTCCTTCTGGAGCAATACATTTGGAGTGCCACTACACGAGGCATTCAAATTAATTAAAAATAATAGGAAACTTACAAGTTAAAATCCCAGTCGG